CTGGTATATATATAAGAGGGGAAAACGTGACGCGAAAAAGGATTGTAATGTGTGTGTAGATAGTGAGTAATTGATCTGCGGTCAGTGTATTATTGACGTTCGTTGCTATAGCCCTTGTTTAGCGTGATTGTTGAAGTTCAGTGTATCGGTTAAGTTATATTCGGAAAGAATAAACCAGTTTTATTAAGTAAAGACTTGTGTCGTTAAAGTTTCGTTGAAACGAAGTTACGGAAAATTAATTAACACACGGAGACGTAACAGTATTTACTAAAAAAAACGTACTTAAAAAGTTCCTAGAATAAACAGTAAAGAAAATCCATAAATCTTACATCATTTATTTAAAAAATTTCGTACAAAAAATTCCACAATATTCATGAAAAATCCTAGTTGAATAATCATACAGTACATTTTTTTCAGATCAATTAACTCGCATAATTTGATGATTTCGATCCCATATATAAACGATTTTTTTATTTTTTTACTGTCTAAGTTGAATCTGCTCCATGTACGCGTACACTTTGCGACTCGTCAGTGAGAGTAAACATCCCCAAAATAGATCAACCTATTTATTCCAATTGTTACAGCCATAAGTGAAGGTCCCCCCATCAGGAGAACACAACCGTTATGGAGACGATTCTCAGGGATAACAATACATGTTACTTCCCAAGGTTAGTACATCCCTCATTTTGTGCCTGTTTTTTTTCCATCTACTTGTTATTAATAAGATACAAGGAATTCTGAAAATAAGGGCCCCGTCTTTCTACCATTTCATATAATGTGCATGTTTCTTAGCTTCGACTCTACAACAGTTTTCTATTCTTGACCGTTTGATTACCAGCACCTACAGTTACACTCTGAGCACCAGAAACTGCCCATGATAACCAAGTTTACTTGATAACTTGAGGGTCATACTGATGACGAGTACACTAGAACTAACTCCTGTTTTAAACATTCTAGCTGTACCTCCATCGAGGTATTTTTTGCTGTGTAGCTTTGAACTGACGACGTTTTGATAAATATATTCTAAACCATGACCTCGCCTCGGTGGTTCAGCGGTGAAACTGGGTGAGTTTCACGCTAAAAATCGGATACCTTGGATGAGCATAATACAAATAGCCCATTATGTAGCTTTGTGCTTAACAACGAACAAAGGTTAAATAACGAAGAGACTAAACATTAGAAGAAAAATCTACAAAGGACTACTAACACAAAACAGTCTCAATACGGGACTACTAACATAAAACAGTCTCAACATGAGACTAATAACAAACAACGGTCTCAACACTAATTCAATAGTATACCACTAAATGGTTACCGTTGTTGTTGTTGTGTAATTAACTACTAAACACTGTTTCGATATGATATCACTAAATGGTTACTGTTGTTGTTGTGCAGTTAACTACAAGACAGCTTTACTGCCAGATTAAAGTACATTTAATATTGATGTAAATTCGAGGGAATTGTTAATAAGAATTGCTATAATAATAATAATAATAAAAACTCCAACAAAGTGGTTCTCACACCATTTGGATACGAGTTTTGTGTTTATTGCATAGTTACTGTATACTTCATTCCCTAATCCCGAAGTGCTGACAATAGGAAACCAGTGAAACCTTACTACCCACCATCCACGCTAAGGGATTGACTGTCACCTTTATAATGCAACCAGAACTTGAAGTGTGTGGAATGTGTAGATTCGAACACAGCTAGGCTATCTGTATTACCGACCTACAACGTTTATCATGATCAGTGTTTCAGTTGGTTAAAACCTTAGTTTTATTTTTAAAATTCTGTGTTTCACGTGAAGCACTTTAGAATGCTAAAACACTATTTAATTATTCATTTTCAACGTCAAATAACATTAGCATTATTATAAAAAAAGGCACTATACTTCCCTATAACGTGAAGTAAACTAATTAGCACACTTTAATTCTTGTTGTAATAAATGTTAGCTGCAAGAAGAAAAACAGTAAAATGTTCAAGTATTTGATAGACAAATTGACCAAAATGATTCAATTCGTTGCACGTATTCAGCTTTGGAAACGTTTTTAAAGAATACTGAAATGCAATTTAAAACAAAATTGGACCGTCAGAGAACTTTTAAACATTTTTTCCACACTGTAATATGAAAATAAATGTAAGTAATGAGACACAGGCATTTATTGGCAGCTTGAGTTTGTTTTTGTTTTTCAAAGTTTGCAGAACATCTAGAGAGTTGATACCATATCTTGATACATCAAGATCATTTAGTAAAAAGAAAATACCAAACCCAATCCACTTAATGATGACGAAAGTACTTGAATACTTTGACTACCAGCTGTACGAGTTACCTTTTGTTGATAGGCCTATTTTCACGGTAGACGTTAACTCAATATTTTTACTTACGTGCTAGCTACTGTACTGTTTTCTAGCTTAAGAAACATACAATAGTATTGTGATCAGTTTTGTTATTTCTAACTTCAAAAACAACAACATCATGATCAGCTCTACTGTATAACTTCAAAACAAACAAACTGTTGCGCATCTGCTTGTTTGTTTGTTTCCGGTAGAAATTCTTTCCGAAGAACTTCAGCGATACAAGTCTTTTCTTGATTAAGCCAGTCTATTCTTTCTCGATACAAACTTAGTACACGGTAATTCCACAGCCAGTACGTTCCTCGTTACTTTAACTTAACAACTTTATAATACACGCTATAAATCACAGCGGTTCACAATCTCGATAATTTTGCTCTCTACGAGTGCAAAACACAAACTAGCTCGAAACAGAATCGTAAATTACCCGGAACTCAAAGTAACTTCTCATACTTTTGCGTCAGCGAGTCACATGACCACTGTGACGCCACGTTTCTAGAACTATCCTGTACTTTGGCGAATGCTCTAGTAATTACTAGATATAGGGTAGGCTGGTATATAAAAGAGGGGAATGTAATGTGTGTGTAGACAGTGAGTAATTGATCTGCAGTCAGAAGTATTATTGAGCACGTTCGTCGTTATAGCGTTTGTTTAGCGCGATTGTTGAAGTTGAGTGTATCGGTAAAGTTGTATTCGGAAAGAATAAACCAGTTTTTATTAAGAACTTGTGTCGCTTAAGTTTCGTCGGAACGAAGTTACGGAAAATCAATTAACAAACGGAGACGTAACAATACATTCATACATTTCTCCGCCAGGCTTATATACTAACAAAGAGGGGTCTCGAAAACACGCGAAGTTCCCTGATAGTTCGAGAAACTCGGACACGCATGTGCCAGCAGCGTCACGTGACTTCTGCTGTCGCAACAAAACAATATTTTCACTGTAAAGCTGTTCACGATGATAAGTAAAACATAGTCTTTTTTCAAGAGTTCACAACGAACTAGGCTACGTGTATTATCTTATGTTTAAATGAATAACAACTACTAGAACCACTGCGGTGTTATTTCGTAAAACATTGTTATTAACTATATTTTTACCTTCCTCCCCGGAGAGGGGGCGAGGGTATTGCAACTGGGTCTTTTGTGTGTGTGTGTGTGTTTCCGCGCGCATATCTTGAAAAGTAACAGACTGGTGTATACGAAAACGTAAGGTGAGAAGTCAGTATGGGACAGTCCTCCCCAAATAAGGTCCGGATCCGGATCATTTTGAAGCTTTTTTTTAATATAATGGGGAGATTAGGCATTTTCGCAGTTTTGAGTTAATAACTCTGTAATGTGTGATCGGATTTGTACCATATTTCATGGGCATTAACTGATTAAATTCGAGTCTCCTCATAACATAATGTTGCGTCAGCGAGGTCACGTGACTAGTGTCACGCCCCCTGCTTTCTGGAAATATCTTGTACCTTCGTGAATTGTCGGGAGATTACTAGATATAGGGTAGACTGGTATATATAAGAGGGTGACGGCGTGACGCGATAATGTGTGTATAGGTAGTGAGTAATTGATCTGCAGTGAGAAAGTATTGTTGAAGTTAACTTTCGTTATAGCGTTTGTTTTAGCGCGAATGTTGAAATCAAGTGTATCGTGAAGTTATATTCAGAAAAAATAAACCAGTTTTACTAAGTAAGGACTTGTGTCGTTAAAGTTTCGTCGGAACGAAGTTACGGAAAGTTAATTAACAAACGGAGACGTAACAATAAGAAAAAAAAATGATCCAGATCGTTGATCATTCTATTCTGAAACAGTGAGAAGAAATTTGACGTTATCCAATATAAACGCATACAATCTTGAAATTGTTAATTATACAATTTAGCTGTTTGCTAGGTGAAACTGCTAACCATGATGATGTAATAATTGAGAAGCTTTGTCTAATGTCTAGAAATAAGGTAGGTTATTTATAAGTACGAGTTAATATTGAGCATTCACTGAATGAGGATTTAATAAGCAGTGAATAACTATTTAGTAAGTTTAAGTCAATTTCAGACAAGTTGTTCACAGTTTAGTGTTAGAAGTGAGATTTATCATATTTATTCAGTTACCTCGAACGATTAGCGAAAAAGTTTTCTAAGTAAGTTTATTTGCGAGTTAGGCTTACCTACCTTTAGCTCTCGGGATTCCTGGTGAGACGTTGTTTGTGCACTCAGGCCTACAACTTCAAGTGAAAGTAGCCTGTAACAAACGGTAAGGAAGAAATAAACTAATTCGTTATTGTTACGTGGAGTGGATTTCGCATTATTTTTATCAAATAATCTAAAAGAAAACGCTCAAAGACAATATGTTATAACAACATATAGTCAAACCAATAAAATTGAAGATTACGTTCTCAATTAGATATAACTGGTTGACTTCTAATACTATTTTCAGTAATTTCTCTTCGCAAACCTTAATGGGGTAGTGTCTCAACGGCTCAGGTGTGCAACTCAACTAACAAGAAAGTCGTTACACAAAACTTTCATTACGTTTTTGAGTATAAACCAGTTTACATATTAAAATAACAACAATAATTTTTTATTTTCTTTCAGATGATTGTTAATACTTGTTAAAGGAGGAGCAGGAACTACAAGTAACTTTCGTCAATCTTATAGAGTTTAAATAATGGACAACTGAACGTATTTTTCCAGGATGAAACTCTCGGTTTTTCTTACATGCCTGGCTTGCTTTCTGGCTGGAGTTTGGGCTGCATTTCGTTATCCAGCGTTTGAAGAACCCGCCCGAAATTCTTCAAAAACACAAATCACATTTGGTGTAATACTTCCCAATACCCTGCTTATCACAGTGGCAAGGTCTTACTTGAAAACACTCACCGAATCTGTAGAAACTTTTACACTTAGTAGGCACGTTAAATATCATTTTAAAAACCACTACAAAATATCTTCACCTTTTGGAGCATCAATGTCTTTGAACCCAAGTCCTACAGAAATATTAGACGTGTTATGCAACAAGGTGGTGAAACGAAATGTCGTTGCTATTCTTTACTTCACTAACTCGAACATATTTGGCAGCAATGCTGCATCTGTGCAATATTTGTTACAACTCACAGCTTACTTGGGGATTCCTGTGATAGCATGGAATGCTGACAATATTGGCGTTGAGCAGGTAAGAAAAATACAACATGACGTTCTGCAGTAAGAAGTATATATATGAAATAATAATTTTAAAACGATACTTCTATAAAAGATCTATTTACATATCAAAACAATACAACATTAAAATCTTACAAAATAAATAATTATTAAAAACACGAACTTGCCCTAAAAGACTGCATATGTTTCGGTGTATATATGACACCATCTTAAGTAGTAACAGTAGAAGTAAGATTGGACTTATATACCTACATAATTATTTGCATATTAAAACGCCATCTACACTCAAACTATCCAGAGTTAAAACACGTCTGCCCAGTACTTTATTACTTCCATATCTGGATCAGCTTCTTTATTTAACATAATATCTTTTTTGTTTCTTCCATTTCAACAGTTTCTCTTATATTCAGTTATATTTTAAATTCTACCTGTTTCATTAACAGTAAGTTCCAGTAATTATTATGTAAGTCCCCCACCTTACTTCTACCGTTATTCCTGAAGATGGTGTCATACGATACCGAAACATATGTAGAGCCTTTTAGGGCAAGTCCTTGTTTTTAATAATTATTTATTGTGTAAGATTTTAACGTTGTGTTACTTTTAATTGTAAATTTAAGTATGTATGACATTATATCGTGTATTGTTGAATCATATAGTTACGACGCGGCACGATATTGTGTGTTGTTTAAACAGATAGACACAACACGATACTCTGTGTTGTTTAAACAGGTAGATCCGACCGATATTGTGTGTTGTTTAAACAGATAGACACGATACTGTGTATTGTTTAAACAGATAGACACGACACGATACTGTGTGTTGTTTAAACAGGTAGATCCGACACGATATTGTGTGTTGTTTCAACAGGTAGATCCGAAACGATATTGTGTGTTGTTTAAACAGATAGACACAACACGATATTGTGTGTTGCTTAAACAGATAGACACGACACGATACTGTGTGTTGTTTAAACAGGTAGATCTGACACGATGTTGTATGTTGTTTAAACAGGTAGATCCGACACGATACTAAGTGTTGTTTAGACAGGTAGATCCGACACGATGTTGTATGTTGTTTAAACAAGTAGATCCGACACGATGTTATGTATTGTTTAAACAGGTAGATCCGACACGATATTATATGTTGTTTAAACAGGTAGATCCAACACGATAGTACGTGTTGTTTAAACAGGTAGATCCGACACGGTGCTACGTGTTATTTAAACAGGTAGATCCGACACAATGTTATATGTTGTTTAAACAGGTAGATCCGACACGATATTGTATGTTGTTTAAACAGGTAGATCCGACACGATGTTATGTATTGTTTAAACAGGTAGATCCGACACGATAGTACAAAGTTGTTTAAACAGGTAGATCCGACACGATAGTACGTGTTATTTAAACAGGTAGATCCGACACGATAGTACAAGTTGTTTAAACAAGTAGATCCGACACGATACTACGTGTTGTTTAAACAGGTAGATCCGACACGATACTGTGTGTTGTTTAAACAAGTAGATCCGACACGATACTACGTGTTGTTTAAACAGGTAGATCCGACACGATACTACGTGTTATTTAAACAGGTAGATCCGACACGATACTGCGTGTTGTTTAAAGATAAAGATTACTCGTCTTCCAGCGAGTCTCAGAGTCGAGAATTCTTCAGCTTGCTCCGTCAATGGAACACCAGGCGGCTGCCATGTTGGGACTCCTGAGGAGGTATTTCTGGCACCAATTCTCCATCGTTACCACTCTTATAGGTGGACACGATGACTTTATACGTGCCGTCAGAGATCTCGTTCTGGAGAGTACAGAATTTAGGTAAGTACGTCAAAGAAAACATTCAAAGATATCGAAATCTCTTTTATTCACACTATTTTCCACTTTCCCAAGATGTAAAATGTTGTATTAGTTTAGAAATAATTGTTTCTTCTAATATTGAAACGTTTTATTAAGAGTAAAGAAAATGGTTGTAAGCAATATGAGGATGTTGTATTAATAGCTTGTTAATAGTCTGATAAATACCAGGAGACTCAACACATACATTTGTTAACATTGACTGTCTTGTTAACAGTTTGGTAAACACCAATGTACTCAACACACATCTTTTTACATTGACTTTTTGATAAACTCTGGTATATTCAATTCACGTCTGTTTACAAGTATTGTTTTGTCAATAGCTTCGTAAACTCGACACAGATCTGTCCACATTGATTGTTTTATTAACAGTTTGGTACAGACAGGTAAACTTAACACATACCTGTTAACAGCCCTCTTTTGTCAACAGCATGGTAGACTCAACACACGCCTATTAACATTGACATTTTTGTTAACAGCTTGATAAAGATTGGTGAACTCAACACAAATGTGTTAGTATTGACTGTTTTGTTAACACCTTGGTAAAGGCTGGAGACGGCTTGAGTGGGTAATGAAGAAAAACTTTAATATAAGTTT